TACTTTAACTGTATCTAGCTGTAAATTATTATTTTCTATTATTTCTTCCTTGAAACCCCTATCTAACGAACCTAGGAGATCGTTGAAGTTGAAATTCTACATCCTAACGAAATTCTATGGCCAGATTTTATTTCCTCTTAGCGCTTATCACCTCATCCTCTTACCATAGTCTCTTTCTTTTTTCCCTTCCCCCTTCTTTTCTTTTTCCCTTCCTTTTTGTTTGCCTACGACTACTTAATGTGTTAGATTCCCTTCCATCTCCACATGTAAATTCTAGAAGACATTTTATGAAAATTTCCAATACTTCCTGGTAATATTTTGTTTTGTCAAAAATTTCTGGTAATATTTTTTTTTCCTCAAAAATGTATAGCTGGTAATATTATTTTCAAAAACTTATTTCTGGCAATATTTTTTTTCAAAAACATATTGCAGGTAATAGTTTGTTTTTGTTTTTTGTTTTTTCTTCAAAAATTTATTTCTGGTAATAATTTTTTACAAAGCATTTCTGGTATTAAAACCTATTTTTACACTTTTATAATGCTTTTTACCTCAGTTTGGGGGTTAACTATTTGCCTATAGCTTGGACCCTAACAGGTGCTACCACCTCGGGTAAGGGTGGACCTGGGAACACCAGCAATTAAGAGGTGGTTCCACGCTTCTCAAAACCTCCTGATCAGAGGCCTTGTTGTTGGACGTAGTTTAACGTCTTACCCTGGACGCGGATGTAGTTTATCGTCTTATCCAGGACGGAATTTGGCTAGTAAGGAATAAGACAGTTGATTGAGTTCTCTATGAGTGAATCCAAATTAAATATTGAAGAAATATATCATGGCACTAACATCGAAGAATTTCTTCACCTGTACATCAATCGTGTTACAATGAGAAGCGTCAAACTGTTCTTGAGTTAAGGTTCAGTCGGCAGACATATGAAATAGTCATTTCTAAGGTGTCTTGTGCATAAAAATGTTAATTAGCACCATTTACACGTCCAATTGCAAATACACATATGCACAGACAAATGTTTATTTTAATCATTTCACCGCAAAAAAGACAATAAAGCCACTAAGATGCAAGGGGGTTACTGAGTGTTAGAAAATACGAGAAAAAACTACTATTAAGGAGGAAGGACAATAAAATAAGAGGAATTTAAGGAAGGCAGAAGATTGATATTGCATTTCAATTAATTGAATATCATTGTTGATTGTGAAGCAAGAAGCGAGAAATGCGAGAGAAGAAACTGTTAGCATAGAACTTACGGTTGCATCTAGCCATTGCAATTGTAAAATGATGAGACCTATCTGCCAATTTACTACTGTGCTTAAATTCATACAGTCTACCTACCAAAGGGGAAAGTTCATCAGAACAATTACGACGAATCGTAGACTTATAAATATGTAAGATAGATTCTGTCGAAGAAAATTGCCTAGCGCGACACAGTGAACCAAATTTCTTAGCTACAGACTTAACAATTGATTTGATATAATCTTCACATTTCATGTCAGCTGAAAACATGTGTCCGAGAAAGCTTAATGAGTCATTCTCGTGGAGGTTAGCATCAGCCATGCCGATGGAAGGCATAAAGGATTCTCTCATATGATTAAAAGGGTTTCGTTTTTGAGGCGTTAAAATTAATGTTTTATGTTTCAAGTTAAATGCTAATTATTTTGTAGTCGCAATTTTATAGGAACCCCTTTCAAAAGACTCGAAGCTTTTAAAATTCACTTCTTTTTGTTTTTAATCATATCACCTCATGCAAGACAATAAAGCCGCTAAGACTCAAGGGTTTACTGAGTGTGAAAGAAAGGAAAATTATTAAAGAATGAGAACAATAAAAGAGGGGGAATCAAGAAGACAATAGATAACGATTGGCATTGAATTTGAATTTTTGAAGATCAAAGTTGGCTGGGATGTTGGCAGGAAGAGAATTCCACAAACTGTTATAGAAGAAACTGTTAGCATAGAACTTACGGTTACACTTAGCCATTTTGACTGTAAAGTGATGAGACTGCCAATTTAGTACTACGCTTAAATTCATATAGTCTAAGTACCACAGGGAAGAGTATTATTTATTTGTAAATATTAAAAAATGTGGCACAATGCCAAAATGGAGAATAGGGAAAAGAACTGTCTTCTTCTGTCTTAAATTTAAACTTAGCTAGTCACGATAGCTGACCCAAACATACCACTATATTACTTGCACCAAAACGACGCATTCTTCCACTTCTGATGTAATGGAATAACCTGTTACCCCCATGAATGATTACACTATAGGTAGTAAGTACCTATAAAGTCCACTGTCAACGAGAGACTCGAGAACAGAGAGAAGTGTTGGGAGCAGTCGACCAAACTGTTCATTTCTGCTGAACTCTGTGCCTCGGCAGAGAGAAACTCGGACGAAGCTTGGCCGAAGGACAAAATTTCGTCCGGGGAGGTAGTCAGGCCCTGAACCCAACTAGGCGAGTTCAAAGGTAATATTTTTGGTCCAGCTTACGGACTCTGAGAAACCCACGTTAAACTCGGCCTTGTGCCACATACATTCCTTGTGGGGAGGACTGTCAAATATAACAGAGAGGAGAAGTGTGAGAGCGAGACGACGCAAGCATGTCCGACCTTCCAACGAGTGGCACTCTCTACTAGATTGACCTGTGTGTATAACTGTACCGTATTTCATATTGTACTTGTTGTGTACAATAAATCTTTCTTCTAGTATCCACTTGATGTTATGTGTTTATACCATTAGTACGGAATATAAGACTTTCTCACTATATCCACCACAATGCCTCAATGTCTCTATGGGGTCCTAACTAGTCCCCATATGTTTAATTCTTATCTGTAGGAGGAGGGAATTAAAATAACAATTTTAAAAATCTAAACCCCAATGAATATTTCCAAATGTGAAACACGCCTATCTATAAACAAAATTAGTTAGTAATTACCCTCACAATTCTTTAATTGTGACAGAAACATCAGTTAACTGGACGAAATCAGTGCCGGGCTTTAATAATGTAAAACATTCATTCATCCCAAACACTCACACCGACACGCACTCATTCGAACACAACAACAAATAGGAAAATCAAAGCCTCATCCACCAGAGAACTAACATCTCTAAACGGGGAGGAGGAGAAGGGGAATTAAAGTAAAGAAAAATGGAGACAGAAATAAAAGGGGCCAATGAGCATACATCCCGTTAACTTGAAAGAAGAAAAGTAGAAAGCTACAGGGAGGAGTTCATTGGAACAATTACCATGAAAGGATTTATAGAAAAGACATAGGGAAGCTATTTTAGGGCAATGAGGAAGTGACCGAGGTCGAGATGCCAGGTCAGGTTCAATAATATTGCTGATTCTTCATTGGATGTTATCAAGACTCTCTAACTATCCAGCAGAAGCACCGGACCATATTTGGCAGCAATATTCAAGGTATGTACAAATGGTAGACTTATAAATATGTAAGATAGATTCAGGAAAGAAATATTGTCTAGCACCACACAGTGAACCAACTGTCCTAGCAGCAGATGTAGCAATTGATTCAATGGACTCTTTCCACTTTTTGAAGGTTGGCATCAATTGATGGAAGGCAAAAAATACTCTCTATGTCTATGATAATGGTAGGAATAAATAACAGCCAAAGAGCTCTATATAAACAGTAGGAGCATTGGACCATATATGGCAGCAATATTCATGGCATAGACTAATGGTAGACTTATAAATATGTAAGATAGAAAAGAAATATTGCCTAGCACCACAAGGTGAACCGACTTTCTTAACAGCAGACCTAGCAATGGATTCAATATAATCTTTCCGCTTCATATCCACCGAGAATGTAAGCCCCATAAGGCGCAACGATTCACTTTCATGAGGGTTAGCATCAGCCATACACTTCTTTGGTTCACAGAATTTACACAGATTTTTCACAGGATCCATGAATGAATTCCTCAGAAAATTCATAGGTATACACACTTTTAAACTTGTACAGAACGTAAAATACTGATTCACTTAATAAGTAATTTCATTTGACCAGTATGACGTATTCTAACCTCTGGCACTAAAAAGCAATAATGTCACACTTTTATTTTTAAATTTATTCTGGTTACAAGACAAATCTTCTGCCGCTGAGAGTCGGCTGTGTTCTTTCTTCCAGCGACATCCAGACTCGGCTACAGAACACCAACTTCCGGGAGACGTCGGTCTACGCATGCGCCAAAGTACATTTTATTTATTTCCTCTTTCACTCATCTCGCATCTTACTTTACCTTGTCGCTCGCAAAAACATTTCACCCAATTTATATCAAATATTGGGAAAGAACTACGAACACACTAACAGCCTCTTCCGCCAGGAGAATAGAAGAGAAGAGGTTTCGTTTAGATTTGATTTTATTTCTGTTTTTACCTCTTATTCGAGACGATTCAATTAAGAATTACAGTCGCCCAATGATAGGAGCTGAACTTAGGAGTGTTTGGTACATTTATAGAAGCAATAAATAGAGTTTAAGACGAGAAAAGGATGCAATATAATATATATATATATATATATATATATATATATATATATATATATATATATATATATATATATATATATATATACTTTAAGCGTACTGGAAAGTTTTCCCCAAAATCCGGTATTTAGATATATTTTTATTTCACACACACACACACACACATACACACACAGACACACACACACACACACACACACACACACACACACACACACACACACACACACACACACATCGTGATTACGATTACAATGTAACAAATTATAACCATGGAATATTAGTGTTTGAAACTTTTATATTATATTCTTGCTCTGTCCTGGATATTGAGTTCTACCTGGATTCGATCCTCTTGAAATTTTATATATATATATATATATATATATATATATATGGACGACTAATATTATCAATATGTATATGTATATATGGACCACTAATATTATCAATATATATATATATATATATATATATATATATATATGGACAACTAATATTATCAATAATAGATAGATAGATAGATAGATAGATAGATAGATAGATAGATAGATAGATAGACCTAGTGAGCCAGACAAACCTACCTAGGTTTCACCTAAACGGATCGTCAAGGAAAGTCGGCTTTCCCTTACGATCCGTTTAGGTGAAACCTAGGTAGGTTTGTCTGGCTCACTAGGTTTATCTAGGTCTGCTCTACGGTTGTATTGAGCGCTTTTGTTAGTTAGTTGTTTACTCGTTTCGGGTTTTTTTCTTTGGGCTTCAGACCTGCATCTGTGCGATTTTTTGTCGACAGAAGTTCATGTTTGTAGCTCTTTCTTTTTTTAAAACCTTTTTTTCCCTCGAGATTGATTGGATTATTAGCAAATCAAAAATTCGAGGGTTTTTCGAAACGAGTCTAGTTATCTATATATATATATATATATATATATATATATAAGAAGTGGCAGATATTTAATTTATTAATCCGATATTTTTATTATTTAAACGTTTATTTATTAATCAATACACACACATCACACACACAAATACACATATACACACATACACACACACACATATACATACATACATATATATATATATATATATATATATATATATATATATATATATATATATATATATATAGACTCTCCTGCTGTTTGACAGCCAAGCACTTATCATTTGATTATAGTGGTGAAGGCTTGTGCAGAACTAGCCAGGGTTTTTGGAAGAGCTGAATACACAGAAAAGGTGCTCAGTATGGCACAAGGTCCCCAAACAAGCATTCGCAGCTTTTGAATTTAGAGTTGTCCTTATCCTAGACCGGTTGCCAGCCAAGGTTCTAGGACGCAGTTTGCCCTGCTATTTACCCATAGCTGGTGTGGGGGGGATGGATTCATACCTTTCCCAAGTAAATGAAGTTCGACTATAATTCGAACCTGGCTCCCCATTCCTCAATCCGAGCAGCTATCCATTACTCAAACCTAACCTCTCTCTCTCTCTCTCTCTCTCTCTATATATATATATATATATATATATATATATATATATATATATATATATATATATATATAATATACCTAAAACTGAGGTTACACCATAGAAAAGGCTGGACTAGATAGATATATAATATATATATATATATATATATATATATATATATATAGGGAGAGAGAGAGCGAAACGAAATTCCAATATATATATATATATATATATATATATATATATATATATATATATAGAGAGAGAGAGAGAGAAAGAGAGAGAGAGAGAGAAACGAAATTCCAATATATATATATATATATATATATATATAGCTGTCTATTTTTAGAAATTATTCAGATACTAAAATTTGATTCTACAACTTGCCTGTGTGACGTCGTCCCCCGGTCGCAGCGCCAACTGTGACGTTCTATCCTGCTCTACCACGGCGCCAGTTGTGACGTCCTCAAACAGCACCACTTGTGACGTCTTCGCCGTGGCGCCAGCTGTTCGCTCCTCGCTGCTCCGTCCGGGTGTCGCTGCTCCCAACGTGACGTCCGCCTGTCGCGTCAGTCGTGTTGCCTCATCCTGTGACGACCAACTGGCTTGGTATCGGTCGCGGCACCCAAATGTGACGTTCTAACCTTTTGGTGATTCGGGTGGGAATCTTGTTAGAGTTGATATCAGCCTCGTCGCTCCCAACTCGCTTCCAACGTCTGGTTACCAAGGTACCTGCATTGATCTCCAGTCTGCCTACCCACGTTGTGAATTGATCTTAGACAGACGAGATCAAACAGTGGTTGGGGCCGTAATGCAAATTGAGTTCAACGGGGGTGATAACACACAAATATGCATAAAAGAAAATAAAATGAAAACTCAAAAAGTTCAAAGTATCAAAGAAAAAGGTAACAAACTTTATGTCTAGTTGTTCGATACATAGGACTGCATCTATCTCCCGACCCGTTCTGTGGATTGTGACACGTCGTTTTCGCTAGGCAAGTTTTAACGCTTCAAGTTGTTTGCTCTCTAAGAAATTTGTGTTTCGGTGTGTCTTTGGACGAAAGTCGAAAAAACTTATTTCGGTGGTCTGGTCCTAAGTCGCTCTTCAAAATAATTGTTCTTGGTTGAAGAGGAGTCCGGAATTTTGCGTGAATCTTGGTCAGCTATCTCGAGGCGGCTTCAACTCTGGAAACTGGAGCTCGAACTGATTTCTGCCTGTTGGGGCTTCGTTTTTATTGACGCCGACCAAAACCGGGGTGGGTCTGCTGGCGTCGGGGGTTCCTCGATAATTCTAAATACACATCCACCTCTTTTATTTCTGGTTAGGGATTTTCCACTCCTTTCCATTTTTGGGAACTCTTTTTCACTCCCACTTTCTCACCATACTTCTGAGGGGCGTGAACTGCCCTCCCCACTTCTTCGTAGCAGCTTCTCATACTTACACTCTGGATGGGGGCGTCGACAGCCTTCTTCGTGCGTCACGTGATCACTCTCGGCCAATGAGGTCTTGGTCGGGTATCTTTCCTCCTCCTTCGTGCGTCACGTGATCACCACTTGACCAATGATGTCTTAGTCAGGCGTGAACAATCCGCGGCTTTGTTTCGGAAAAAAAATACCTTGCTTAACTAAAAAAAAATTAATTATCTCTTCTCTTTCCTTTTTCTTCCTTTCAAATCGCCGTTATCATTTCTCTAGCCACGAACGGATAATATGACAACTCTTTGTTCAACACGTGGCATTTGTCAGGTAGTTTATCGCTAATTCATCAAGACGGTTGGTTTTCCCGACATGGCCTCAGAAAAGAATTATCCCCAAAAATTTCAGTCAGTCTGTCGTCTCCAAGGAAGAAAGAAAAACATTTCCGGTTCCCATTTATTTTCCTTCGGTACATGTGTCTGATAACATAATTTTATTATCGCAGGGCAAAGTTGTTTTGTTGAAAAGAATTCGGTCAGCGCTCTGCTTGTGTGGGATTTAATTTTTCATATCTGTCCAAAGTCCTTTTTAGTCGCCTGTTTCTCGTTACTTATCGAAATAGCATTTTCACTTGAATTTTTCCTGGGCCAGTGGTCTAGCCATTCGTTTACGTACCTAGATAACATAGCCGTTATCAAAACACATCTGGTTCCTTCTCTCTTTTCCTTTTCTTTTTTTTTCTTTTTACTCAGAAATTCCCTGTCATTCTAATGACACACTTTTTCACTTGTTACTTATCAATATTTTCATTGTCTCTTAGGCCATGTGTGTGGCTGTTTTATCACCTATGATCCGTCTCGCATTTCTTTCTGCCTTCTTTTCTTTCTCTTTCTTTCTCTGCCTCGTAAATGGTGCCACACCTGTAACCTTTTGCTTTTCTAAAATCAGTATCTAAAATAAGTCAAAATATTTAAAAAATGTCGAAATGTAACCATATTTTTTAAAACCCAACTGTAATTAGTATGAAGTCAAAGCAATAAATATCTGATCAGTTGTGGATCTTGAAATGGATATTTGTAATATATCAAGGAAATTTTGAACTATTTATTTATTGAAAATTAAATTATTGTTTTCCTGAACCCGATACTTTTGCCGTCAGTATATCATGTCAGTGTCAAGCCTCTCTTCCGCAAAAAGGGCACGCCAATGTTTGGAAGCAGAGAAAAGCGAAAAAATTTTAAAAAGCTGTTGGGGACCCCACAATGTACGCGACGAGGGAAAAAGAAGCAAAAAAGAAAGAAAGAACAGCAAATCCCTCAAAATACCCAGTCTAAAATTAGGAGGCCTATAAACGGAAACACGTGTACCCATGATGCGTCATTTTCTTTAAACCAAAATGCTATTCTTTGGATCTTCATATAACCGACATTACTAGGAATCAAATGGTAGAAGAAATTTCCTGTACATTTTTATTCTTGTTCAACACAGCAAAAAACAAATGTACCTTAACAGTTTTGTTCAACGAAACATACATACAAATAACGACATTTATATATATATATATATATATATATATATATATATATATATATATATATATATATAGTTAGTTGGATTGATGTGAGTTTGTGACCCTGGCAAAAGCATGAAATCCAAATTAAAACAAACTCACATCAATCCAACCAAATATGTTAACTCTATCACTGATATTGGGTGCTTTAATAAAAAAGTGCGCATATAATATATAAAAATATATATATATATATATATATATATATATATATATATATATATATATATATTTTTCACACTCACACACACACACACATATATATACGTGTTTGCATGTATGTGTGTGTCTTTGTATATATGTGTGCGTGTGTGTAAAATTTAAGGTATAACTAAAATTATATCTGTCAAAGAGCAATTAAATGAAGAGAAAAGGAATCTTTATCTTTGCCAACACGTTTCGTCCTCTGATGAATTTTTATCAAAAGGCAAACGTAAGGATTTTATTTCACAACAACCATTCATAAGCAAAATCAAAAATGTCCTCTGTTTTCAAACATCTTCAAAATTAAGAAACGCTCATAAATATTCACCAGTTTCACTGAAAAGTCGAGGTAAATTATCGAGTATCGTAAGTTACGTAATTCAAATTTGTTTTATAATATAATTAATATTTATCATATTTTAGTTTTGGGATTAATTGATATATATTTTAAATACTTCAAGGTCAAGAATTTAACCGTTTTTATTTAATATTTAAAAGTTTTTACCATTTTTTATAGTAATGCATGTTGGCAGGAAGGTTTATAGTCTTGGAAATACTTGTAACACCTAAGTACTGAGGTTACACCATAGAAAAGGCTGAATTAGATAGCTAACATAATGAATCAACATACAAATCCATGTCCCTATCAATCAAGCCAATTAAGTGACAGTCGAAGCTTACTTGAGTCTGTGCGTTGTCTTACATTCGTCTTGTAAAACGCATACGTATTTTTCAGGGTATTTATGAGAAAAAAATGCGTCTTGTAAGCCGGAAAATACGCTATATATATGTATATGATATTTTAAAATAACTTAAGGATAACAATATATGCTATCACGTCATTCCATGAATAATATCAGATATATATATATATATATATATATATATATATATATATATATATATATATATATATATATAAATACACATATTACTACGTTTGGTATGCGACTGGAATTTCATTGCTTACTCAATAAGCTATATCTCGTGCCCCATGCACAAAAACCTTCACCACTATAATCAAATCATATGTACTAGTGTCTGGACTCTCGATTCCTAGGACCTGAACTGCTCGACCCTCATACGTCGAATACGACGGGAGAGTCCACCATATATATATATATATATATATATATATATATATATATATATGTAATAAATTAATTGAGTTAAAATATGTTTTTTTCCGCTACACAGTTCTAACTATGTTTCAATATTGAGCACTATTTTGTAAAAATAAAAATATCTATAAGAACACCGGATTATATATCTTACTGTTCTTTTCTTTTATTTATATATACATACATGCATATATATATATATATATATATATATATATATATATATATATATATATATATATATATATAATTGGTATATACGGAATGAATTCCAATAACCAACAATTACTATTCTTAAAAGAATGCTCAATACAAAGTAGAGCAGATTTTTTTTATCTTCAACATCATCACTTGATAAGACACCGAGTGTGTTGAAACAAAATGGCTATTTTTGTAGTGATTTTATAACATACTTATGTTATAATTTTTTTATAAATAATAATTATATATATATATATATATATATATGGTGGTTGCCAACTCGTGTCCGAGTATGGCCATTACCACATATCTTTTGCAAAAAATCTACTGATGTGCTGAACGAATGTGGCTCTTTAGCCGAACAAGGGACCTACATACTCTGACACAATCAGGACACTTAAGAGGTCCAACAGCGGGTGGCACATTATCATGCAATTTAAAATGTCGCGTGAAACCGCTTCTGGGCCCGCATGTCTTACCACAAATATCACATTTCAGTTGCTGGACGTCTACAGCTTTATAGTCAATAGCCGGCCTCCGTTGGTGCGTTCTCGATTGACTCCTTAGACCAGCCATCGACAAACACACTCTACCACAATCTGTACACATCAGATCGAGCAACCTGTGGGTGTCTTCAGGACGTTCAAAGGGGACACCTTTACGCACATCTCTTTTAAGCCTTCTGTGCCTCTTCTCCTCTTCCTCCTCCTCAAAGTGACACTTTCCACCTCCGAGCAGCCTCATTCCAATTATTGCGATCAGATGCACATTCTTTCCAGTGTTCACAAGGAATGTTGCATTTCTTCAGTGCATCCACTTGATGCAGTCCTTAAAGCGCAGCTTAGGTTTGACGAAATTTCTTTTTCCTGTTCGCAGCTCACCATAAAACAGTTGCTTTGGAATACGGCTGTCATCCATTCTGACAAGGTGGCCGCTCCACCTAAGTTGATGTTTTAGTATCAAGTACTCGATACTATCACAGCTTCTCCTCTCTAGCATGTCTACATCACTAACATTTGCCAGGTAATGCCAAGGATACGACGTAAGCAGTTCTGGTGGAATCTCTCAAGCCTTTTCATTTGTCTGCGGTAAACCACTCATGTCTCGCAAGCATAAAGAAGTGCTGTAAGCACACATGCACGATAGACCTTTAGATTTGTACTCACTGAAAGTTTATTTAGTTTTCGAAATGCGTTGCTATATATATATATATATATATACTATCAGTAGAGCCCGGCGTTGCCCGGGGATGTAACAGTAAGAGATAGATCAAGTATCGACCATCATAAAGACTGAAAAATAAAATTGGCAAAGATTATTCTTTAAGGTTGACGGACACGCATAACTTAATTATTTTTTTTTGTTTTTTTTTACGAATTGGTCAAACCCAAACTCAAACAAAAACATTGTTTTCAATCGTTATGAGTCTACCGATTGAATAGAATTTTATTATAAACAATTGTCTTGTAAATGGAATTTTTAAAGCATTCTGAATGTCAAAATAAAGAAAAAAGTGTGCAAGACAATAAGAAACACTACCTGCCAAAAAAAGTGATTTTTTGTTGAAATCGGTTGAAAAATGTAGGAAATCCGATCCCATACACACACACACACACACACACAAACAAACAACCTGGGTTTTATAAGTATAACTTGATATGAGTTGTCCCACCTTTCATTCTCGCGACAGCGATGCCTCTTAATCGTGTTTTCAAATTGATTTCATGCAAAAACAATTGTGTTTTTCATTTTTTGGCGCTCTCAGAACCACCGCAAGGTAATTTTACATAGTTCTGTGAAGTTTTGTTGAAATCGGTTGTAAAATGTAGGAAATCCGATCCAATATATAAACGAATAGACACACACACACACACACACACACAGAGCCTGGGTTTTATAATAAGTATGATATATATATATATATATATATATATATATATATATATACACGCACACTCTTTGGGGAGAAAAGAGAGAAAGAGAATACTTTGCGAAGAAAGAAAAAGTGAGAGTAGTGAGAGTAAGAGGTACCTATACATTGGGAAGAAAGAAATAATAGGAGAGATAAAGAGAGAACGTCTTTAAAAAGAACGAAAGAGTGAGTGAGAGAGAGTGAGAGAGATACAATGGGAAGAATGAAGGAGAGAGAGAATACTTTGAGAGGAAAGAAAAGTGAGTGACAGGGAGATACTTTGGGAAGAAAGAAAAAGTCAATGGGAGTGAGAATACTTTGGGAAAAAAAGTGAGAGAGAAAGAGAGAGAAAAATACTTCGAGAAGAAAGAAAGAGTGTGAGAGTGAGAAATACTTTGGAAAGAAAGGAAGAATAACATATAAATATATATAATCTTTGGAGAGAAAAAAAGGAAAAAGAATACTTTGGAAAGAAAGACTGAGAGAATACTCTGGGAACAAAGAAAAAGTGATATATATATATATATATATATATATATATATATATATATATATATATATATATATGCACATTTCATTGAATACGACAGACAAAGTGCTTTTATTTAGTTTTTTATAGAATTTCTCATGCGATCTAATATTTTTTTTCTTTTCTGATGATAAATTATATAAAAACTGTCCAAATGTTCTTTTTATCCGAGCGCTTTCGGCTATACATTTAGCCATTTTCAAGGATTATATTTTAACTGTTAAAATAAGAAATAGTTTGTTGTATGTATGTTTTATAAAACGTTTTCAATTTTTAAAACACGGTCAAGATATTATGTCCATGTTCAATGTTAATATTATTAAGTGTTGTTTTTTGTTTTTATTAATAAAGCTTCCATTATTTTTATCCTTTTTTTGCATGTAGATGATGCTATTATATTAGTGTTGTCAACAAGTATATTACGAATAATGTCCGGTAGGTCTCCATAAATATTTAAATGAGATCTAATTGAGTTATGGTCAGAAAGGTGTAGAGTGAGTTTTCACTAAGTTCATGAGTGAAATATATATATATATATATATATATATATATATATATATATATATATATATATATATATATGAGGAGAAGAAAGAGAGACTTTGGGAAGAAAAAAGAGTGTCAATAATTTGGGAACAAAAGAGAATACTTTGGGAAGAAAGAGAGTGATAATACTTTGAAAGAGAGAAACAATAATTTGAGAGGAAAGACAAAGAGAGAGAGAGAGGGGGGGAGAGAGAGAGAGAATACTTTGTGAAGAAATAAAGCAGACGTAAAAAAAGAAAAGGTTGACCACTCGCGAAGATTCGAAAAAGACCTAAAAGACGAATTCTTTTTTTTTTACCAACGGAAGATGAACATTCCAAGAACAATTCACACAGAAAAATGGAAAATATGGAAGACTATAAAATGGATAAAAATAAAATACAGAAAATAATCATAAATGCAAATGAATAACGAATTATATGGAAATTGCTTGATATGTACTTAACTGAATTTTGTTCTGAAATTAAGTGCATGGAAAAACCGAAAAAGATTACCTTGGAAAATCATATTCCCCACTGGATTAAGTGCCTTGACAAGAAAGAAGGTTATGTTGGAAAATCAATATCCGCTGTGTAGAATAAATGGTTTTGTTATCATGAGCCTACGGACTTACTGATGTTACCATAATTAACGTGGGATTAATATTCCCACTGGATTAAGTGCATTGAAAAGAAAGAAGTTTATGTTGAAAAAAAATTATTCGTTGTGTAGAATAAATTCATTGTTGCTTGTTCGCCGAGAAGACCCTGAAATACTGACAATACAATTCCCCCCTCTTGTCACCCCCACAAGAATCAGTTCAATGAAAAACTCTTCCTAATCCATTTCCTTAAAACAAATCCAAGCAAATGAAAAACGAACCTTTATCAGATGCGTTGAAAGAAATTCATCCTTGAAATTTTGTTTTATTTTAATTTTTTTTTTTTTTTTTGCCAGAAAAAAATCAAAATCCAAACACAATTACTTCATGTATCCATCATTTTTTTTTCTTGGAAATTTCTTCGATCGAATTAACTTATACATTCCAGATTCTTTTCTTTTTTTTTTTTGGGGGAGCTGAGAGAAAATTACTTCATAGCAACAGATAGACTTATAGATACAGACGTACCCATAAGTCTTCTAACATATAAAGGGTGCGATGCGTAAATTGTCGGCATTTTATATTTTTTAATTCGCGCATACGTGTTGCTGTTTTTGATTAGGTCTACTGCAAAGTAAGTTCAGTCGGGTATCGTCTGTGAGAAAAAGAGCAGCATGACGCAAAACAGAAACTTCGAAACGGCATGCTGCACCGCTTGGCATTCGCACCGGAAGATCCAATATGAACATTTCAGAGTGTTTGGGTGTCAAACTGAGGACGGAGCAGACGATTCGGAAAGAGTTGGATGAGTCTAATGGTGATTACGAAGGTACAGCAACTCGGCAAATTCACTCTGGCAATATGGAAGAGAATTCCTGAATTTGTTGGTGAGGGGCTCAGATTCAACACGGAGGTCTACATCACGTGTTTTGGAGAGGTACAGCTGCTAGAAGACCCTATTTTAGGAGACATGACTGTGAACCATGCTACACAAGTAGAAGAACCCAGTCATGGCTGTCAGACAATTTCTGCGACTACATCACCCCTTACAGATGGCATCCTAACTCACCAGGCCATGATGAAAGACAATGGCGATTTTATTGAATAAATTTACTCTTTAGTATTTCAAGATATTTTTGTGTAATTTTAGTAAATATATGTCTTACATTTAGTCGGTGTTATTGTCAATTTTTGCATAATATATATATATATATATATATATATATGTGTGTGTGTGTGTGTGTGTGTGTGTGTGTATATGTGTGTGTATATATATATATATATATATGTGTGTGTGTGTGTGTGTGTGTGTGTGTGTGTGTATGTATGTTGATAATATTAATGGCCAAATATATATTTCCAAGAGTATGGAATCTTTTTGAATTTGTAAGTCTAATGAATTGGATCGTGATTACGATTCCAATATAATAAATTATAACCATGGAATATTAGTGTTTGAGCCTTATATATATATATATATATATATATAGATAGATAGATAGATAGATAGATAGATAGATAGATAGAGAGAGAGAGAGAGAGAGAGAGAAAGAGAGAGGCTGATGATAGCCGTGTTAAGAACGATTTGAAATAGACTATCCCTATGTTGAGGTAATTTGGTTTTTTTTTGCTGATATATATATATATATATGCGTGTGTGTGCATATATATATATATATATATATATATATATATATATATATATATGAATGTGAAAATTGAAGACAACACTTAGAGGCGACAGCTGTTTCCTGCTAGACGCAATCGTCAGGCCACACGCTTTATCGCTGATATGGAGCACTTTATCCCATAAATATACCACACCTTAAGACTACTCTTCTTTATATATATATATATATATATATATATATATATATATATAGGCACGGTTGAGTAATAGATAGAGCTGAGTTCGAATTTCAGTCGAATGCATTACATTCGCTTACGTGCTAATACCCTTACGAAAGGTATGAATCCTCTTCTTCTCCCTACAGCTATGGATAAATAGCAGGGCAGACACGGTTCTATAGCCTTGGATGGAGAAGGACAACTCTGTATTCAAGACCAGCGGTGGGTTTTTTGGGGACCTGACCGGGTCTCTGTATTCGGCCCTTCAAAAAGTAAGCGTGGTTCTGCACAAAGCCTTCACCACTATAATTGAATCAAATGTACTGGTGTCTGGACTGTCGATTCCTAGGAACTGAGCTGCTTCACACTCGAATACGACGGGAGAGTTCTATATATATATATATATATATATATATATATATATATATATATATATATATATATATGTTCAAAGTAAATATTATGAAAGTTTTTTGTTGTTTTTATTAATAAGGCTTCCATTATTTTTAGCCTTTTTTTGCATGTAGATGATGCTATTATATTTGTGTTGTCAACAAGTATGTTACGAATAATGTTCGGTGGGTCTCCATAAATATTTAAATGAGATCTAGTTGAGCTATGTAATGGACGCCTTATTTATAAAAACAAAAAACCAACACTGAATAATATTAACTTTGAACATGGACAAAATATCTTGACCGTGTTGTGAAAAAAATGAAAACACTTTATAAAACATACATACAACAAACTATTTCTTATTTAACAGTAAAACTATTTAATTCTTGAAAATGGCTAAATGTATAGCCGAAAGCGCTCGGATAAAAAGAACATTCGGACAGCTTTTATATAATTTATCATCAGAAAAGAAAAAAGATATTAGATCGTATGAGAGATTGTATAAAAAAAACTAAATAAAAACACATTGTCTGTCGTATTCAATGAAATGTGCATGAAAGAATTACTGCCTAAACACACACGCACACACACACACACACACACATACACACACACACATATATATATATATATATATATATATATATATATATATATATGGGGTGTAAGTGTTATTTGATGAAATATTATTTTAAGTTCACTACATACTCAAATCATTTATAATATATATTTTTTTATTATTTCCGATAACCTAATCAGAGGAAGATGTTAAAATGAAAAGACATTCAGTCATTGTTGCTTTAGCTGCAAAATATAGTGATTTAAAAATCAGAAACTTTTTACATGTTGCCAGAGATCTTTTGTTCATAAGGTTTCATTTGGAACTAGAGGGACGTGATGGCAATGTTTCCCCTGTAGCAAAAAGAAAAAAGAATTCACAGCGTTCTGATACCGTGAGAACACCAGAATTTATACGGAATGTTCAAAACATTATCGATGAGAAACCCGAAAGATCAATGAGGTCCATCACCAAAGAACTCCAGATATCAGAATGGACTATCAGAATCGTGGTACCTCAGGACATTCGATATAAGTCATATGTAAATGAGGAAAGGCCAATTCATATCGGCGAAGACACAAGAAGACCGTCTCATGCGTTCAAACTGGTTGCTGAACAAAGTGAAAAATCCTCACGATCATGGCATGCTTTAATTTTTCTCTGAAGAAAAAATACTTTGACCAAGATCATCAAAACAAACAGACGGAATGACAGGAGGCTATGTGCATCTCCTTCTGAAGTACCCAGGGTGATGTACACCAAATATCCGTCTACTGTGATGGTTTTAGGAGTTGTGAGCAGTGAAGGTCAAGTCATACCACCTTACATTTTCCCACAAGGTCTTAGGGTCAATGCTGCTGGATACATTAATGTTCTTAAAACGGTTGTTAAGCCCTGAATAAATAAAGTATGCAATGGAAGGCCATATGTCTTTCAACAATACTCTGCACCTTCTCACTAAGACATTGTAACCCAGAATTGGTTATCAAAGAATTTTTACGATCATGTAACACCCAACATTTGGCCCACTAACTCGCCAGATTTCAATCCTATGGACTATTACGTGTTGAGCGTCGTTGAAAGGGAGACTAATCGACATACTCATAGTACCATAGTTGCACTGAAGGCCGCCATTGTCCAGGTGATGTCTAAAATGAATAGGGACCACTTAATTGCAGCTTGTGGACGGTTTTCTGTCATTGAAGTCAAAGGGGGTTTCATAGAATAATTAGATAAAGAAGTATCATGAAGGATATTTGTGTCAATTTGAATCAAATATATACATTATTTGCTAAGATGTCCTCAAATAGCAGTCTCATCCTGTATATATATATATATATATATATATATATATATATATATATATATATATAGAGAGAGAGAGAGAGAGAGAGAGAGAGATACAGATTAACAAAATTTGCACTGAAAGTTTTACTTGTTCTTTTCATGAAATAGTTCAAGTAATTTTATGAAACTTGGTGCATTTTCTTATCATAACCTTCCATAATAATTACCCACACTTTTTTCAGATAATTGTATAACAGATGAGTGTTGAGGAAATCAAACATCAAAGGGTGTGTGAAAATGATAAACGCATATTTTCATCCACAGAAGATTTCAAACATAGTTGGATTATCCCTACGGACAGAATTTAATGTGAAGAAGAGAATGTCTATGAGGGAAACTATTCAGAGAAAGCCTGGAATTGGCGGAATCAACAAAAAGCGCAATAATGAGTTCATCAACATTCTGAAATCCCAAATCCCAAAAGACCCAAAGAAATCCATGAGAAAATTAGCAATTGAACTTAAGGTGGATGCTAGGACTATCAGAACAGCTATAAGGAATAGAACATTGGATAGATGCAAAAAAAGTTTTTACTTATCTTAAATAAAACAAGTCCATTGTAAACATTTCTTCAGATGAAAAGGTCTTTACTGTTGACGCTGTTCTGAGTAACAGAAATGACAGATACACTGCACACTTAAAAGCTTATATCAACGGCATTTTCAGAACGAAGAATCCAGATCATGGTTATGGTCTTTGGGATTGTGGCTTCCGACTGGAAAAATGCCAATCAAATATTACAAAGCTGGTAAAAAAATGTAATGCTGATGCCTATTAAAAGACTCTGAGATACAATGTATTACCATGGCTCAAAGCCAAATACCCAGAGGTAAACTATGTATGGACTCGGGATGGTGCCATACAGCCAAAAAAAAAGTACAGAATTTCTGCAAATCAACATTTTGACGATTTCGTACTATTAAACTTACGGACCTCTTCCAGCCCAGATCACAAGCCTCTAGATTCTGCTTTTTGGAGCTTTTTAGAACATGCTACTAATAGGACCTTTCATCGAAACGTTAACTCTCTTATAGATGCCATAGGAAAAAAAATAGGACAAGATGCCCTCTGGTTTCTTGGAGAAGAGTTGTAGAAGTTTCAGAGAGCGTGCGGAGGCAGTAATTGAGAAACAAGGAGGACATATCGAATAACATGTTTGTATTTCTATGCTGGAATCATTTGTATTTCTTTAAATAAACTAATCAACTATGAGACTTTTTATTTCAATACCAAAATTATGCAAGTTTCGCCTCCCCAACCAGTATATATATATATATATATATATAATTATTTATTTAAAAATATGATTCCAAATCGCAATATATATATATATATATATATATATATATATATATATATATATATATTGATCACAACGGTTA